ATTTGTGCTGACCTTTCAATTTCAACGTACCTCTCTATAACATGACCCAGCTGTAATTTCAGTGGTCGCATTGGTTTCATTTTTGGTTTGCTTGTAGGGCGCTGGCACCCGCATTCAGTGACCCAGAACATTTGGCACTGCTGTGAATAGTTTAGTCGCAAAGTGAAGATTCACGGGTAAAAAGCCCCAAACTTCTAGATAGGTTCTTTTTCAGCTTTCAGCAGCCCTGGGCGAGTTCTTTAGAGAAATGTGATTCTTTTTCATGGTGCTCTTTTCTACGTCCAGCTAACCAACGAGATGAGGATGGTCATTGTCATTTTCTGAGTTGCGAACGGGCAGAAAGGTGAGAAAATGTCGGATTTTGACCATTTGTGCTGACCTTCCAATTTCAATGTACCTCTCTATAACATGACCCAGCTGTAATGTCAGCGGTCGCATTGGTTTCATATTTGGTTTGCTTGTAGGGCGCTGGCACCCACAATCAGTGACCCTAAAAATTTGGCACTGCTGTGAATAGTTTAGTCGCAAAGTGAAGATTCACGGGTAAAAAGCCCCAAACTTCTAGATAGGTTCTTTTTCAGCTTTCAGCAGCCATGGGTGAGTTCTTTAGAGAAATGTGGCTCTTTTTCATGGTGCTATTTTCTATGTCCAGCTACACAACGAGATGTGGATGGTCATTGTCATTTTCTGAGCTGCGAACGGGCAGAAAGGTGAGAAAATGTCGGATTTTGACCATTTGTGCTTACCTTTCAATTTCAACGTACCTCTCTATAACATGACCCAGCTGTAATGTCAGTGGTGGCATTGGTTTCAATTTTGGTTTTCTTGTAGGGCGCTAGCACCCGCATTCAGTGACCCAGAAAATTTGGCACTGCTGGGAATAGTTTAGTCGCAAAGTGAAGATTCACGGGTAAAAAGCCCCTAACTTCTAGATAGATTCTTTTTCAGCTTTCAGCAGCCCTGGGCAAGTTCTTTAGAGAAATGTGACTCTTTTTCATGGTGCTCTTGTCTATGTCCAGCTAACCAACGAGATGAGGATGGTCATTGTCATTTTCTGAGCTGCGAACGGGCAGAAAGGTGAGAAAATGTTGGATTTTGACAATTTGTGCTGACCTTTCAATTTCAACGTACCTCTCTATAACATGACCCAGCTGTAATGTCAGCGGTCGCATTGGTTTGATTTTTGGTTTGCTTGTAGGGCGCTAGCACCCGCATTCAGTGACCCAGAAAATTTGGCACTGCTGTGAATAGTTTAGTCGCAAAGTGAAGATTCACGGGTAAAAAGCCCCAAACTTCTAGATAGATTCTTTTTCAGCTTTCAGCAGCCCTGGGTGAGTTCTTTAGAGAAATGTGGCTCTTTTCTATGGTGCTATTTTCTATGTCCAGCAACACAACGAGATGAGGATGGTCATTGTCATTTTCTGAGTTGCGAACGGGCAGAAAGGTGAGAAAATGTCGGATTTTGACCATTTGTGCTGACCTTCCAATTTCAACGCACCTCTCTATAACATGACCCAGCTGTAATGTCAGCGGTTGCATTGGTTTAATTTTTGGTTTGCTTGTAGGGCGCTGGCACCCACAATCAGTGACCCTAAAAATTTGGCACTGCTGTGAATAGTTTAGTCGCAAAGTGAAGATTCACGGGTAAAAAGCCCCAAACTTCTAGATAGGTTCTTTTTCAGCTTTCAGCCGCCCTGGGCGAGTTCTTTAGAGAAATGTGACTCTTTTTCATGGTGCTCTTGTCTATGTCCAGCTAACCAACGAGATGAGGATGGTCATTGTCATTTTCTAAGCTGCGAACGGGCAGAAAGGTGAGAAAATGTCGGATTTTGACCATTTGTGCTGACATTCCAATTTCAACGTACCTCTCTATAACATGACCCAGCTGTAATGTCAGCGGTCGCATTGGTTTCATATTTGGTTTGCTTGTAGGGCGCTGGCACCCACAATCAGTGACCCTAAAAGTTTGGCACTGCTGAGAATAGTTTATTCGCAAAGTGAAAATTCACGGGTAAAAAGCCCCAAACTTCTAGATACTTCCTCCGTTAACAAAAACTTCGTGATGGATTTTGATGGATATGAAAACGCTTAGAACAGGTCAAGAACAGTTTGTATCAACTGCAAATCATTAGACGAAGGTGAATCGGCCTATGTACAGCGTCTTTTCAAGAGAAACTGTTGGAGGAAAGAGCAGAGAGTTCAGTTTGCGTCGCTTTCGCTCGACTCATTTTTGACCTGCGTCGCTGTCGTCATCTGCTGCCCCCGAGTCGTCATCTGCTGCACGCGAGTCGTCATCTCTCTCGAGTCGTTGTTCAGCTCGTTTCAGCCTTGCCTCGGCTTCTTTGATCACACTCTGCTGACCTTGATGTCGCCGTCGTTCAAGTAAGTTGGCTTTCAAGCTGCGTGATCCGCCGCGTTGGCGATTACTCGTTTCCACAAGGGAGTCGTGAAAAATATTTTACGACTCCTTGGTTTCATCTTCGCTCTCCAGAACTCCGGGAAACGAGGAGTAAAGGCACAGCCAAACTGGTTCCATTTTCTCTAATGGATACCCCTGCAAGCACTGAACGGCAGCGGCTAGCAAGTCCAGTCGACTTTCTTTAGCCATGAGACTCGCATCGGACTGCAGACTTCTGAAAGAATGCATGGTGATCATCATTCGAATCTGGGCTTTGCGCAGTTTGAACAAGAACTTGAGTTCAGAATTAGTTTTCATTGAGCCGTGCGATCGGAGCAGCCCTTGTTCACTCGCTCATTATGTGGGCTCGCTGCTCCGTTTTATCGCTCTCTATCGCTCTCCAACTCACTTAGTGCCAAAGTGGTAGAGAGGCCAAGCAGCGCAATATCCCCTCGGAGAAGTGGTATTTCAGTTTCGCTCGCCATGACTGTCATCACCTACGTTTCCACAGCGCAACCATCGATTCCGCTCGACTTGTTGTTAAAGGTCGTTTTCCTTGCATTGTACTTCTTTCATGGCATGCCAGGGAAGGCCAAGAAAGTGATTGCGACTCATTGCACGGCAGTTTGTGCCAAAATCAGCCCCTCAAAAATCCATCACGAAGTTTTTGTTAACGGAGGAAGTAGGTTCTTTTTCAGCTTTCAGCAGCCCTGAGCGAGTTCTTTAGAGAAATGTGGGTCTTTTTCTTGGTGCTCTTGTCTATGTCCAGCTATACAACGAGATGAGGATGGTCATTGTCATTTTCTGAGCTGCGAACGGGCAGAAAGGTGAGAAAATGTCGGATTTTGACCATTTGTGCTGACCTTTCAATTTCAACGTACCTCTCTATAACATGACCCAGCTGTAATTTCAATGGTCGCATTGGTTTCATTTTTGGTTTGCTTGTAGGGCGCTGCCACCCGCATTCAGTAACCCAGAAAATTTGGCACTGCTGTGAATAGTTTAGTCGCAAAGTGAAGATTCACGGATAAAAAGCCCCAAACTTCTAGATAGGTTCTTTTTCAGCTTTCAGCAGCCCTGGGCGAGTTCTTTAGAGAAATGTGACTCTTTTTCATGGTGCTCTTGTCTATGTCCAGCTAACCAACGAGATGAGGATGGTCATTGTCATTTTCTGAGCTGCGACCGGGCAGAAAGGTGAGAAAATGTCGGATTTTGACCATTTGTGCTGACCTTCCAATTTCAACGTACCTCTCTATAACATGACCCAGCTGTAATGTCAGCGGTCGCATTGGTTTCATTTTTGGTTTGCTTGTAGGGCGCTGGCAGCCACAATCAGTGACCCAGAAAATTTGGCACTGCTGTGAATACTTTAGTCGCAAAGTGAAGATTCACGGGTAAAAAGCCCCAAACTTCTAGATAGGTTCCTTTTCAGCTTTCAGCAGCCCTGGGCGAGTTCTTTAGAGAAATGTTACTCTTTTTCATGGTGCTCTTGTCTATGTCCAGCTACACAACGAGATGAGGATGGTCATTGTCATTTTCTAAGCTGCGAACGGGCAGAAAGGTGAGAAAATGTCTGATTTTGACCATTTGTGCTGACCTTTCAATTTCAACGTACCTCTCTATAACATGACCCAGCTGTAATTTCAGTGGTCGCATTGGTTTCATTTTTGGTTTGCTTGTAGGGCGCAGGCACCCACATTCAGTGACCCAGAAAATTTGGCACTGCTGTGAATAGTTTAGTCGCAAAGTGAAGATTCACGGGTAAAAAGCCCCAGACTTCTAGATAGGTTCTTTTTCAGCTTTCAGCAGCCCTGGGCGAGTTCTTTAGGGAAATGTGGCTCTTTTTCATGGTGCTATTTTCTATGTCCAGCTACACAACGAGATAAGGATGGTCATTGTCATTTTCTGAGCTGCGAACGGGCAGAAAGGTGAGAAAATGTCGGATTGGGACCATTTGTGCTGACCTTTCAATTTCAACGTACCTCTCTATAACATGACCCAGCTGTAATTTCAGTGGTCGCATTGGTTTCATTTTTGGTTTGCTTGTAGGGCGCTGGCACCCGCATTCAGTGACCCAGAACATTTGGCACTGCTGTGAATAGTTTAGTCGCAAAGTGAAGATTCACGGGTAAAAAGCCCCAAACTTCTAGATAGGTTCTTTTTCAGCTTTCAGCAGCCCTGGGCGAGTTCTTTAGAGAAATGTGATTCTTTTTCATGGTGCTCTTTTCTACGTCCAGCTAACCAACGAGATGAGGATGGTCATTGTCATTTTCTGAGTTGCGAACGGGCAGAAAGGTGAGAAAATGTCGGATTTTGACCATTTGTGCTGACCTTCCAATTTCAATGTACCTCTCTATAACATGACCCAGCTGTAATGTCAGCGGTCGCATTGGTTTCATATTTGGTTTGCTTGTAGGGCGCTGGCACCCACAATCAGTGACCCTAAAAATTTGGCACTGCTGTGAATAGTTTAGTCGCAAAGTGAAGATTCACGGGTAAAAAGCCCCAAACTTCTAGATAGGTTCTTTTTCACCTTTCAGCAGCCCTGGGCGAGTTCTTTAGAGAAATGTGACTCTTTTTCATGGTGCTCTTGTCTATGTCCAGCTAACCAACGAGATGAGGATGGTCATTGTCATTTTCTGAGCTGCGAACGGGCAGAAAGGTGAGAAAATGTCGGATTTTGACCATTTGTGCTGACCTTTCAATTTCAACGTACCTCTCTATAACATGACCCAGCTGTAACTTCATTGGTCGCATTGGTTTCTTTTTTGGTTTGCTTGTAGGGCGCTGGCACACGCATTCAGTGACCTAGAAAATTTGGCACTGCTGTGAATAGTTTAGTCGCAAAGTGAAGATTCACGGGTAAAAAGCCCCAAACTTCTAGATAGGTTCTTTTTCAGCTTTCAGCAGCCCTGGGCGAGTTCTTTAGAGAAATGTGGCTCTTTTTCATGGTGCTATTTTCTATGTCCACCTACACAACGAGATGAGGATGGTCATTGTCATTTTCTAAGCTGAGAACGGGGAGAAAGGTGAGAAAATGTCGGATTTTGACCATTTGTGCTGGCCTTTCAATTTCAATGTACCTCTCTATAACCTGACCCAGCTTTAATTTCAGTGGTCGCATTGGTTTCATTTTTGGTTCGCTTGTAGGGCGCTGGCACCCGCATTCAGTGACCCAGAAAATTTGGCACTGCTGTGAATAGTTTAGTCGCAAAGTGAAGATTCACGGGTAAAAAGCCCCAAACTTCTAGATAGGTTCTTTTTCAGCTTTCAGCAGCCCTGGGTGAGTTCTTTAGAGAAATGTGGCTCTTTTTCATGGTGCTATTTTCTATGTCCAACTACACAACGAGATGAGGATGGTCATTGTTATTTTCTGAGCTGCGAACGGGCAGAAAGGTGAGAAAATGTCGGATTTTGACCATTTGTGCTGACCTTTCAATTTCAACGTACCTCTCTATAACATGACCCAGCTCTAATTTCAGTGGTCGCATTGGTTTGATTTTTGGTTTGATTGTAGGGCGCTGGCACCCGCATTCAGTGACCCAGAAAATTTGGCACTGATGTGAATAGTTTAGTTGAAAACTGAAGATTCATGGGTAAAAAGCCCCAAACTTCTAGATAGGTTCTTTTTCAGCTTTCAGCAGCCCTGGGTGAGTTCTTTAGAGAAATGGGGCTCTTTTTCATGGTGCTATTTTCTATGTCCAGCTACACAACGAGATGAGGATGGTCATTGTCATTTTCTGAGCTGCGAACGGGCAGAAAGGTTAAAAAATGTCGGATTTTGACCATTTGTGCTGACCTTTCACTTTCAACGTACCTCTCTATAACATGACCCAGCTGTAATGTCAGTGGTCTTATTGGTTTGAATTTTGGTTTGCTTGTAGGGCGCTGGCACCCGCATTCAGTGACCCAGAAAATTTGGCACTGCTGTGTGAATAGTTTAGTCGCAAAGTGAAGATTCCCGGGTAAAAAGCCCCTAAATTCTAGATAGGTTCTTCTTCAGCTTTCAGCAGCCCTGGGCGAGTTCTTTAGAGAAATGTGGCTCTTTTTCATGGTGCTCTTGTCTATGTCCAGCTACACAACGAGATGAGGATGGTCATTGTCATTTTCTGAGCTGCGAACGGGCAGAAAGGTGAGAAAATGTCGGATTTTGACCATTTGTGCTGACCTTTCAATTTCAACGTACCTCTCTATAACATGACCCAGCTGTAATTTCAGTGGTCACATTGGTTTCATTTTTGGTTTGCTTGTAGGGCGCTAGCACCCGCATTCAGTGACCCAGAAAATTTGGCACTGCTGGTGAATAGTTTAGTCGAAAAGTGAAGATTCACGGGTAAAAAGCCCCAAACTTCTAGATAGGTTCTTTTTCAGCTTTCAGCAGCCCTGGGCGAGTTCTTTAGAGAAATGTGGCTCTTTTTCATGGTGCTATTTTCTATGTCCAGCTACACAACGAGATGAGGATGGTCATTGTCATTTTCCGAGCTGCGAACGGGCAGAAAGGTGAGAAAATGTCGGATTTTGACCATTTGTGCTGACTTTTCAATTTCAACGTACCTCTCTATAACATGACCCAGCTGTAATTTCAGTGGTTGCATTGGTTTCATTTTTGGTTTGCTTGTAGGGCGCTGGCATCCGCATTCAGTGACCCAGAAAATTTGGCACTGCTGTTAATAGTTTAGTCGCAAAGTGAAGATTCACGGGTAAGAAGCCCCAAACTTCTAGATAGGTTCTTTTTCAGCTTTCAGCAGCCCTGGGCGAGTTCTTTAGAGAAATGTGGCTCTTTTTCATGGTGCTATTTGCTATGTCTAGCTACACGAGATGAGGATGATCATTGTCATTTTCTGAGCTGCGAACGGGCAGAAAGGTGAGAAACTGTCGGATTTTGACCATTTGTGCTGACCTTTCAATTTCAACGTACCTCTCTATAACATGACCCAGCTGTAATTTCATTGGTCGCATTGGTTTCATTTTTGGTTTGCTTGTAGGGCGCTGGCACCCGCATTCAGTGACCCTGAAAATGTGGCACTGCTGTGAATAGCTTAGTCGCAAAGTGAAGATTCACGGGTAAAAAGCCCCAAACTTCTAGATAGGTTCTTTTTCAGCTTTCAGCAGCCCTGGGCGAGTTCTTTAGAGAAATGTGGCTCTTTTTCATGGTGCTATTTTCTATGTCCAGCTACACAACGAGATTAGGATGGTCATTGTCATTTTCTGAGCTGCGAACGGGCAGAAAGGTGAGAAAATGTCGGATTTTGACCATTTGTGCTGACCTTTCAATTTCAACGTACCTCTCTATAACATGAACCAGCTGTAATGTCAGTGGTCGCATTGATTTGATTTTTGGTTTGCTTTTAGGGCGCTGGCACCCGCATTCATTGACCCAGAAAATGTGGCACTGCTGTAAATAGTTTAGTCGCAAAGTGAAAATTCACGGGTAAAAAGCCCCAAACTTCTAGATAGGTTCTTTTTCAGCTTTCAGCAACCCTGGGCGAGTTCTTTAGAGAAATGTGACTGATTTTCATGGTGCTCTTGTCTATGTCCAGCTAACCAACGAGATTAGGATGGTCATTTTCATGTTCTAAGCTGCGAACGGGCAGAAAGGTGAGAAAATGTCGGATTTTGACCATTTGTGCTGACCTTCCAATTTCAACGTACCTCTCTATAACATGACCCAGCTGTAATGTCAGCGGTTGCATTGGTTTCATATTTGGTTTGCTTATAGGGCGGTGGCACCCACAATCAGTGACCCTAAAAATTTGGCACTGCTGTGAATAGTTTAGTCGCAAGGTGAAGATTCACGGGTAAAAAGCCCCAAACTTCTAGATAGTATCTTTTTCAGCTTTCAGCAGCCCTGGGCGAGTTCTTTACGGAAATGTGCGTCTTTTTCTTGGTGCTCTTGTCTATGTCCAGCTACACAACGAGATAAGGATGGTCATTGTCATTTTCTGAGCTGCGAACGGGCAGAACGGTGAGGAAATGTCGGATTTTGACCAGTTGTGCTGACCTTTCAATTTCAACGTACCTCTCTATAACATGACCCAGCTGTAATTTCAGTGGTCGCATTGGTTTCATTTTTGGTTTGCTTGTAGGACGCTGGCACCCGCATTCAGTGACCCAGAAAATTTGCCACTGCTGTGAATAGTTTAGTCGCAAAGTGAAGATTCACGGGTAAAAAGCCCCAAACTTCTAGATAGGTTCTTTTTCAGCTTTCAGCAGCCCTGGGCGAGTTCTTTAGAGAAATGTGGCTCTTTTTCATGGTGCTATTTTCTATGTCCAGCTACACAACGAGATGAGGATGGTCATTGTCATTTTTTGAGGTGCGAACGGGCAGAAAGGTGAGAAAATGTCGGATTTTGACCATTTGTGCTGACCTTTCAATTTCAACGTACCTCTCTATAACATGAACCCGCTGTAATGTCAGTGGTCGCATCCATTTGATTTTTGGTTTGCTTTTAGGGCGCTGGCACCCGCATTCATTGACCCAGAAAATGTGGCACTGCTGTAAATAGTTTAGTCGCAAAGTGAAGATTCACGGGTAAAAAGCCCCAAACTTCTAGATAGGTTCTTTTTCAGCTTTCAGCAACCCTGGGCGAGTTCTTTAGAGAAATGTGACTCTTTTTCATGGTGCTCTTGTCTATGTCAAGCTAACCAACGAGATGAGGATGGTCATTGTCATGTTCTAAGCTGCGAACGGGCAGAAAGGTGAGAAAATGTTGGATTTTGACCATTTGTGCTGACCTTCCAATTTCAACGTACCTCTCTATAACATGACCCAGCTGTAATGTCAGCGGTCGCATTGGTTTCATACTTTGTTTGCTTATAGGGTGCTGGCACCCACAATCAGTGACCCTAAAAATTTGGCACTGCTGTGAATAGTTTAGTCGCAAGGTGAAGATTCACGGGTAAAAAGCCCCAAACTTCTAGATAGGTTCTTTTTCAGCTTTCAGCAGCCCTGGGCGAGTTCTTTACGGAAATGTGGGTCTTTTTCTTGGTGCTCTTGTCTATGTCCAGCTACACAACGAGATGAGGATGGTCATTGTCATTTTCTGAGCTGCGAACGGGCAGAACGGTGAGAAAATGTCGGATTTTGACCATTTGTGCTGACCTTTCATTTTCAATGTACCTCTCTATAACATGACCCAGCTGTAATTTCAGTGGTCGCATTGGTTTCATTTTTGGTTTGCTTGTAGGGCGCTGGTACCCGCATTCAGTGACCCAGAATATTTGGCACTGCTGTGAATAGTTTAGTCGCAAAGTGAAGATTCACGGGTAAAAAGCCCCAAACTTCTAGATAGGTTCTTTTTCACCTTTCAGCAGCCCTGGGCGAGTTCTTTAGAGAAATGTGGGTCTTTTTCTTGGTGCTCATGTCTATGTCCAGCTACACAACGAGATGAGGATGGTCATTGTCCTTTTCTGAGCTGCGAACGGGCAGAAAGGTGAGAAAATGTCGGATTTTGACCATTTGTGCTGACCTTTCAATTTCAACGTACCTCTCTATAACATGACCCAGCTGTAATTTCAGTGGTCGCATTGGTTTCATTTTTGGTTTGCTTGTAGGGCGCTGGCACCCGCATTCAGTGACCCAGAAAATTTGGCACTGCTGTGAATAGTTTAGTCGCAAAGTGAAGATTCACGGGTAAAAAGCCCCAAACTTCTAGATAGGTTATTTTCAGCTTTCAGCAGCCCTGGGCGAGTTCTTTAGAGAAATGTGAGGCTTTTTCTTGGTGCTCTTGTCTATGTCCAGCTACACAACGAGATAAGGATGGTCATTGTCATTTTCTGAGCTGCGAACGTGCAGAAAGGTGAGAAAATGTCGGATTTTGACCATTTGTGCTGACCTTCCAATTTCAACGTACCTCTCTATAACATGACCCAGCTGTAATGTCAGCGGTCGCATTGGTTTCATATTTGGTTTGCTTGTTGGGCTCTGGCACCCACAATAAGTGGCCCTAAAAATTTGGCACTGCTGTGAATAGTTTAGTCGCAAAGTGAAGATTCACGGGTAAAAAGCCCCAAACTTCTAGATAGGTTCTTTTTCAGCTTTCAGCAGCCCTGGGCGAGTTCTTTAGAGAAATGTGAGGCTTTTTCTTGATGCTCTTTTTTATGTCCAGCTACACAACGAGATGAGGATGGTCATTGTCATTTTCTGAGCTGCGAACGTGCAGAAAGGTGAGAAAATGTCGGATTTTGACCATTTGTGCTGACCTTCCAATTTCAACGTACCTCTCCATAACATGACCCAGCTGTAATGTCAGCGGTCGCATTGGTTTCATATTTGGTTTGTTTGTTGGGCGCTGGCACCCACAATCAGTGACCCCAAAAATTTGGCACTGCTGTGAATAGTTTAGTCGTAAAGTGAAGATTCACGGGTAAAAAGCCCCAAACTTCTAGATAGGTTCTTTTTCAGCTTTCAGCAGCCCTGGGCGAGTTCTTTAGAGAAATGTGGCTCTTTTTCATGGTGCAATTTTCTATGTCCAGCTACACAACGAGATGAGGATGGTCATTGTCATTTTTTGAGCTGCGAACGGGCAGAAAGGTGAGAAAATGTCGGATTTTGACCATTTGTGCTGATCTTTCAATTTCAACGTACCTCTCTATAACATGACCCAGCTGTAATTTCATTGGTCGAATTGGTTTCTTTTTTGGTTTGCTTGTAGGGCGCTGGCACACGCATTCAGTGACCTAGAAAATTTGGCACTGCTGTGAATAGTTTAGTCGCAAAGTGAAGATTCACGGGTAAAAAGCCCCAAACTTCTAGATAGGTTCTTTTTCAGCTTTCAGCAGCCCTGGGCGAGTTCTTTAGAGAAATGTGGCTCTTTTTCATGGTGCTATTTTCTATGTCCAGCTACACAACAATATGAGGATGGTCATTGTCATTTTCTAAGCTGCGAACGGGGAGAAAGGTGAGAAAATGTCGGATTTTGACCATTTGTGCTGGCCTTTCAATTTCAACGTACCTCTCTATAACCTGACCCAGCTTTAATTTCAGTGGTCGCATTGGTTTGATTTTTGGTTCGCTTGTAGGGCGCTGGCACCCGCATTCAGTGACCCAGAAAATTTGGCACTGCTGTGAATAGTTTAGTCGCAAAGTGAAGATTCACGGGTAAAAAGCCCCAAACTTGAAAATAGGTTCTTTTTCAGCTTTCAGCAGCCCTGGGTGAGTTCTTTAGAGAAATGTGGCTCTTTTTCATGGTGCTATTTTCTATGTCCAACTACACAACGAGATGAGGATGGTCATTGTTATTTTCTGAGCTGCGAACGGGCAGAAAGGTGAGAAATTGTCGGATTTTGACCATTTGTGCTGACCTTTCAATTTCAAAGTACCTCTCTATAACATGACCCAGCTGTAATGTCAGTGGTCGTATTGGTTTGATTTTTGGTTTGATTGTAGGGCGCTGGCACCCGCATTCAGTGACCCAGAAAAATTGGCACAGCTGTGAATAGTTTAGTCGCAAAGTGAAGATTCACGGGTAAAAAGCCCCAAACTTCTAGATAGGTTCTTTTACAGCTTTCAGCAGCCCTGGGCGAGTTCTTTGGAGAAATGTGAGTCTTTTTCTTGGTGCTCTTGTCCATGTCCAGCTACACAACGAGATGAGGATGGTTATTGTTATTTTTTGAGCTGCGAACTGGCAGAAAGGTGAGAAAATGTCGGATTTTGACCATTTGTGCTGACCTTTCAATTTCAACGTACCTCTCTATAACATGACCCAGCTGTAATGTCAGCGGTCGCATTGGTTTCATTTTTGGTTTGCTTTTAGGGCGCTGGCACCCACAATCAGTGACCCAGAAAATTTGGCACTACTGTGAATAGTTTAGTCGCAAAGTGAAGATTCACGGGTAAAAAGCCCCAAACTTCTAGATAGGCTCTTTTTCAGCTTTCAGCAGCCCTGGGCGAGTTATTTAGAGAAATGTGGGTCTTTTTCTTGATGGTCTTGTCTATGTCCAGCTACACAACGAGATGAGTATGGTCATTGTCATTTTCTGAGCTGCGAACGGGCAGAAAGGTGAGAAAATGTCGGATTTTGACCATTTGTGCTGACCTTTCAATTTCAACGTACCTCTCTATAACATGACCCAGCTGTATTTTCAGTGGTCGCATAGGTTTCATTTTTGGTTTGCTTGTAGGGCGCTGGCACCCGCATTTAGTGACCCAGAAAATTTGGCACTGCTGTGAATAGTTTAGTCGCAAAGTGAAGATTCACGGGTAAAAAGCCCCAAAATTCTAGATAGGTTCTTTTTCAGCCTTTAGCAGCCCTGGGTGAGTTCTTTAGAGAAATGTGGCTATTTTTCATGGTGCTCTTGTCTATGTCCAGCTAACCAACGAGATGAGGATGGTCATTGTCATTTTCTAAGCTGAGAACGGGCAGAAAGGTGAGAAAATGTCGGATTTTGACCATTTGGCCTGACCTTACAATTTCAACGTACCTCTCTATAACATGACCCAGCTGTAATGTCAGCGGTCGCATTGGTTTCATTTTTGGCTTGCTTTTAGGGCGCTGGCACCCACAATCAGTGACCCTAAATATTTGGCACTGCTGTGAATAGTTTAGTCGCAAAGTGAAGATTCACGGGTAAAAAGCCCCAAACTTCTAGATAGGTTCTTTTTCAGCTTTTAGCAGCCCTGGGCGAGTTCTTTAGAGAAATGTGGGTCATTTTCTTGATGCTCTTGTCTATGTCCAGCTACACAACGAGATGAGGATGATCATTGTCATTTTCTGAGCTGCGAACTGGCAGAAAGGTGAGAAAATGTCGGATTTTGACCATTTGTGCTGACCTTTCAATTTCAACGTACCTCTCTATAACATTACCCAGCTGTATTTTCAGTGGTCGCATTGGTGGTCATTTTTGGTTTGCTTGTAGGGCGCTGGCACCCGCATTCAGTGACCCAGAAAATTTGCCATTGCTGTGAATAGTTTAGTCGAAAAATGAAGATTCACGGGTAAAAAGCCCCAAACTTCTAGATAGGTTCTTTTTCAGATTTGAGCAGCCCTGGGTGAGTTCTTTAGAGAAATGTGGCTCTTTTTCATGGTGCTATTTTCTATGTCCAACTACACAACGAGATGAGGATGGTCATTGTCATTTTCTGAGCTGCGAATGGGCAGAAAGGTGAGAAAATGTCGGATTTTGACCATTTGTGCTGACCTTTCAATTTCAACGTACCTCTCTATAACATGACCCAGCTGTAATTTCTGTGGTCGCATTGGTTTCATTTTTGGTTTGCTTGTAGGGCGCTAGCACCCGCATTCAGTGACCCAGAAAATTTGGCACTGCTGTGAATAGTTTAGTCGAAAAGAGAAGATTCACGGGTAAAAAGCCCCAAACTTCTAGAAAGGTTCTTTTTCAGCTTTCAGCAGCCCTGGGTGAGTTCTTTAGAGAAATGTGGCTCTTTTTCATGGTGCTATTTCTATGTCCAGCTACACAACGAGATGAGGATGGTCATTGTCATTTTCTGAGCTGCGAACGGGCAGAAAGGTGAGAAAATGTCGGATTTTGACCATTTGTGTTGACCTTTCAATTTCAACGTACCTCTCTATAACATGACCCAGCTGTAATTTCAGTGGTCGCATTGGTTTCATTTTTGGTTTGCTTGTAGGGCGCTGGCACCCGCATTCAGTGACCCAGAAAATTTGGCACTGCTGTGAATAGTTTAGTCGCAAAGTGAAGATTCACGGGTAAAAAGCCCCAAACTTCTAGATAGGTTC